GCTCATCACGCAATGCTCTCCCACGTCGCTAGATTCACCCACATTCGCCCTTCCCCGCTGGCTCCCCCGCGAGCACCAACGCACCCCCCCGATGCACCTCCCCTTCTCATCTCTGGCGCATGATCTCCCTCGTTCCCTCTATCCCGCCTTTCCCACTTCCCTGCCTGCCTCTTCTCCCCAAATCTGCTCTTCTGCTCCGCCCCCTATTCCGCCTCCTTCCCCTCCTCGCCTCGCGTCTGCCAAACTCAAACAGCACGTGCCCGCAACCCCCTTTTCTCCTCCCCTCCCTGCGCCTCCCCTCCCCGCTCCGCCTCCAATCCACCCACGTGCGGCCAACCTTCACTGCTACCCCCGTCTGCGCTCACCCACCCACGTCACTGCTACCCCTGTCATTGCTACCCCCGTCACTGCTACCCCCGTCCCTCTTCGCGCTACCGCCGCCACTCCGGTCTGTGCTGCTCACAGCGACACATGCTTCCGCCGCCGTCGCCTCCACTGTTTCGGCCCGCTTCCGCAGCTGGGAGCTTAACCTGCGCGCGCGTGTTGGTCCCACCCGCCATTACCGATTTGCCTCGCGCATCTGCTCCCACGGCTCTCCACCATCGCATGTCGGTCTTTGTCGCTTATCTCCGTCGACAATCGCTCAATTGCGCAATCCGTCGCTCTCTTATCACTGTACGTCGCGCTCTGTCATTGCCTGTTTGTCGCTCTGTCGCAGTGGCGCGGGCTTCTACCTCCTCTTCACGCCACCACCGCCGTCGCCGCCGCTCTGATCTGTGCTGCTCGCAGCGACGCGGCTGCTTCCGCCGGTGTCACCGCCGCCGTCGCCGCCGCTGTCTCGACAGCCCTGCCTGTGCACCCGTGCTTGCACCGCCCGCCATTGCTGTCGTTTTTAATCGCTATCGTCGTCTACCGTCGCTCGTCGTCTACCGTTGCTCGTCGCTCTCTCATCGTCTACCGTCGCTCGTCGCTCTCTCATCGTCTACCGTCGCTCGTCTGCTATTCCATTTTTGTCGTCCACTGGTCCTTTTCCGCCGTCGACGATCGCGGTTTTGTCGCCGTCCGTCGCTCTATCGTCTCCCTGTTGCTCGCTTTGACGCGACCGCTATCGAGCCACTAAACTGACGCCCCATCTTGAACGCGGGTCATGTGTACTCCAACAGAGTTGAGAAAGCCGCCATTGTTTGCCAAGTGTAGGCGTAACGCAATGTAGGCTAATTCGAGAAAATTGATTCGATGAACCAACTGTTATGGGTGCGAGGCTCTTAGAAACTACGGAACCGATTGTCCTACGAGTGTCTAAAACGAGGATAAAATATTTAGAATCGAGCTAGGCGAGGACCTCGGGGGCGAGGCTCGGGATATGACAAAAGGTCCGGTAGCGATTTGGAAGTGGTTCGGAGCGAATTTGTAGGCCGAACCAGTTTAAGCAAACTCTTCAGAATATACCGGCGCAGGCCAAAGCAGTCTACAGAAATAGATTTACATTCCCTTATACAACGTAATGAACCAACTTCTAGATACTACTTTGGATCAAACCCCATCAGTTTCTCTGCTAATTTTACGAGTCCACTTGCCAGGTTTAACCATCGCATGGAAACATTAACGCGCTACAACGCATACGAACTTAGCTAGTGCAGGGCAATTAATTACGTAACTCACACCTATCACTTTTTATATTTTTCTAGACGAAGAGGAACACAACCGGACCGGTTGTTGTTTGGTACTAGATTTCCCCTGCATGACTCTGCATTGACTGTAGCAAGTCTTGGTTGCAGCCTGTTCGGCTCGTGGACGCCAGCAGACTTCAATTTCTTGCTGCAAGAAATGAAGCTCGGAGATGCAAGGATAAGAGATGAGGTGTGGGTGAGGGCAATGGATTGAAATAGAAAGAGATGAGGAAAGTGTGAGGGCACTGCAGTGCAAGCAAGAGGTGAGGAGATGGTGGGGGGGGAGGGGGGGGAGAGGGAGTGTTTGAAGATTGAAATGTTGCGCTTGAATGTGGCAGCATCTGATAGGATGGATGAGACGGCCGCTTCAAGACTGCCCGCCCGGTGTGTGGTGGCATGGGAGAGAGGGTAGCCGGGGGGGGAGAGGGACGCAACGACCACAGCTGCATCAAGGGGTGAATTCTGCATGCAGCGACGTCTGATGGGATGGATGCGAGGACCACAACAGGTGATGAACAACTCTTCAAACAATCCACGATAGGGCCAAGTCAAGAGTTGTTTGTTGTGGGGGCCGTCTGGTGGATGGTGCCATGTGGAAGAGGTTACGGGCGCGGGGAGCACGTGGAGGGGCAGGTGCCATTGGGTGGATGGGGGTGGTTTGAGGTGCTAATGCTATGAGCAGCGGCATATGAGAGGGTGGACGGATGGGAGGGTAGCGTCAAGCAAGACTGCCTAGTGGACAAAGCGGAAGGAGGGGTTGGGGTGGGTGGATAGGGATGGTTTGAACGTTGAAGGCTGCATACGCGCAAAAAAAATCCAAAACCAATCCTATCAGCCTTCATGAATGCTTGAGACTCTTTGAGAATTCTAACCATTGTGTACGAGGGAAAGAATCTTGCAAATCATAAAAAAAAACTTCTTATCATCACCCTCCCACCATCCTTCCCCTACCCCCTGCCCAACACTTCCTCCCACCACCTCCTCCCCTCACATCACCTGTCCCTCAACTTGAGAAGTTGTTTTACTTCGACTTGGAATATTTCAGGGCTAGATCTGCGAAGATCTAGCATTTCCCGCCAGATCCACACAAATTTGGCATGATTGTGGGTGACAGGCAGGATGATTTGAGTCGAGTTTTGATGGACTCGCTCGAGGGGAGAGGGATTTGCGAGTTTATACAAGTCAACCATATGTTCAAGTTACGGGCCGTGCCTCAGTTTAAAAACAGATGGACGAGTTTTGCCCGCCTCCATGGCACAAAACAAGCTTGGTCAGAATGAGTCGAGGAAAACTTGACTCATCATATGCCCAAGTCTCCAAACAACACCTTGAGGGGGACTCACCCTGAGGGGGTCTTTCTAGAACGCCCTGAAAATCAGTCACAGCATGCCCCCTTCCTTCCGGTAGCCCTGACCCAAAACCACCTTGTGGGTTCCCTTTGAAGTGCCCACTTGCTTGACCCACGCTTGACTTGCTCGAGCCGCCTTGACTTGCCTTCACTTTTTTACCTGTGCGTGTCTTTTGTAACCCACGCTTGCCCCACACAGAATCCTATTTTGACTTGCTGGACCCACCTTGACTTGCTTGAATCACCTTGTTGTTCCTACCCATGCGTGACTTGCGTGACCCGCCCTTGCCCCAGGTACAACCCATTTTTACTTGTTTGACTCACTTTGACTTGTGCTGCCACGTAGGGAGTGCTGAAGCCACAGCAGATGCCGATCTGGGATAAGAAAGAGAGGCAGAGGTATGAAGACAGGGTTGGTGGAAAGGCGCGGAGGAAGAAGGAGATGCGGTGCAGTGCAGTGCGGTTTGAAAGAATGCTCATCTACACAAGGTGCGCTGAAGCCACAGATGGTGCCCATCTGAGGCGAGACAGAGATGGGAGGCACAGGGACGGGGATGGGAAGGAATAATACTATCAATGTTGCACCTCAAAACTTCAACGCATGGTGGCACGTAGGGAGCTGAGGGCACAGCGTCCAGACGCGTCCAGACGCGTCCAGTTGCGTCCAGACGCGTCCAGTTGCGTCCAGACGCGTCCAGTTGCGTCCAGACGCGTCCAGTTGCGTCCAGACGCGTCCAGACGCGTCCAGTTGCGTCCAGACGCGTCCAGTTGCGTCCAGACGCGTCCAGACGCGTCCAGACGCGTCCACACGCATCCAGACGCGTCCAGTTGCGTCCAGACGCGTCCAGTTGCGTCCAGACGCGTCCAGTTGCGTCCAGACGCGTCCAGTTGCGTCCAGACGCGTCCAGTTGCGTCCAGACGCGTCCAGTTGCGTCCAGACGCGTCCAGTTGCGTCCAGACGCGTCCAGTTGCGTCCAGACGCGTCCAGTTGCGTCCAGACGCGTCCAGTTGCGTCCAGACGCGTCCAGTTGCGGTCCAGACGCGTCCAGTTGCGTCCAGACGCGTCCAGTTGCGTCCAGACGCGTCCAGTTGCGTCCAGACGCGTCAAGTTGCGTCCAGACGCGTCAAGTTGCGTCCAGACGCGTCCAGTTGCGTCCAGACGCGTCCACTTGCGTCCAGACGCGTCCAGTTGCGTCCAGACGCGTCCAGTTGCGTCCAGACGCGTCCAGTTGCGTCCAGACGCGTCCAGTTGCGTCCAGACGCGTCCAGACGCGTCCAGACGCGTCCAGTTGCGTCCAGACGCGTCCAGTTGCGTCCAGACGCGTCCAGTTGCGTCCAGACGCGTCCAGTTGCGTCCAGACGCGTCCAGTTGCGTCCAGACGCGTCCAGTTGCGTCCAGACGCGTCCAGTTGCGTCCAGACGCGTCCAATTGCGTCCAGACGCGTCCAGCTGCGTCCAGACGCGTCCAGCTGCGTCCAGACGCGTCCAGTTGCGTCCAGACGCGTCCAGTTGCGTCCAGACGCGTCCAGCTGCGTCCAGACGCGTCCAGTTGCGTCCAGACGCGTCCAGTTGCGTCCAGACGCGTCCAGTTGCGTCCAGACGCGTCCAGTTGCGTCCAGACGCGTCCAGTTGCGTCCAGACGCGTCCAGTTGCGTCCAGACGCGTCCAGTTGCATCCAGACGCGTCCAGTTGCGGGAATGGGTCAAGGGACTGAGGGAATGGGTCTGGGACTGAGGGAATGGGTCAAGGGACTGAGGGAATGGGTCAAGGGACAGAGGGAATGGGTCAAGGGGCAGAGGGAATGGGTCAAGGGACTGAGGGAATGGGTCAAGGGGCTGAGGGAATGGGTCAAGGGACTGAGGGAATGGGTCAAGGGACTGAGGGAAGGGGTCAAGGGACAGACGGAATGGGTCAAGGGACTAAGGGAATGGGTCAAGGGACTAAGGGAATGGGTCAAGGGACTAAGGGAATGGGTCAAGGGACTAAGGGAATGGGTCAAGGGACTGAGGGAATGGGTCAAGGGACTGAGGGAATGGGTCAAGGGACTGAGGGAATAGGTCAAGGGACTCAGGGAATGGGTCAAGGGACTCAGGGAATGGGTCAAGGGACTCAGGGAATGGGTCAAGGGACTGAGGGAATGTCTCAGGGGACTGAGGAAATGGGTCAGGGGACTGAGGGAATAGGTCAGGGGACTGAGGGAATGGGTCAGGGGACTGAGGGAATGGGTCAAGGGACTGAGGGAATGGGTCAAGGGACTGAGGGAATGGGTCAAGGGACTGAGGGAATGGGTCAAGGGACTGAGGGAATGGGTCAAGGGACTGAGGGAATGGGTCAAGCGATTTAGGGAATGGGTCAAGGGACTGAGGGAATGGGTCAAGGGACTGACGGAATGGGTCAAGAGACTGAGGGAATGGGTCAAGGGACTGAGGGAATGGGTCAAGGGACTGAGGGAATGGGTCAAGGGACTGAGGGAATGGGTAAAGTCAAGGGACTGAGGGAATGGGTCAAGGGACTGAGGGAATGGGTCAAGGGACTGAGGGAATGGGTCAAGGGACTGAGGGAATGGGTCAAGGGACTGAGGGAATAGGTCAAGGGACTGAGGGAATGGGTCAAGGGACTCAGGGAATGGGTCAAGGGACTGAGGGAATGTGTCAAGGGACTGAGGGAATGTCTCAGGGGACTGAGGGAATGGGTCAAGGGACTGAGGGAATGTCTCAGGGGACTGAGGGAATGGGTCAGGGGACTGAGGGAATGGGTCAAGGGACTGAGGGAATGGGTCAAGGGACTGAGGGAATGGGTCAAGGGCCTGAGGGAATGGGTCAAGGGACTCAGGGAATGGGTCAAGGGACTGAGGGAATGGGTCAAGGGACTGAGGGAATGGGTCAAGGGACTGAGGGAATGGGTCAAGGGACTGAGGGAATGGGTCAAGGGACTCAGGGAATGGGTCAAGGGACTGAGGGAATGGGTCAAGGGAGTGAGGGAATGGGTCAAGGGACTGAGGGAATGGGTCAAGGGACTGAGGGAATGTCTCAGGGGACTGAGGGAATGGGTCAGGGGACTGAGGGAATGGGTCAAGGGACTGAGGGAATGGGTCAAGGGACTGAGGGAATGGGTCAAGGGCCTGAGGGAATGGGTCAAGGGACTGAGGGAATGGGTCAAGGGACTGAGGGAACGGGTCAAGGGACTGAGGGAATGGGTCAAGGAACTGAGGGAATGGGTCAAGGGACTGAGGGAATGGGTCAAGGGACTCAGGGAATGGGTCAAGGGACTGAGGGAATGGGTCAAGGGAGTGAGGGAATGGGTCAAGGGACTGAGGGAATGGGTCAAGGGACTCAGGGAATGGGTCAAGGGACTGAGGGAATGGGTCAAGGGACTGAGGGAATGGGTCAAGGGACTGAGGGAATGGGTCAAGGGACTAAGGGAATCGGTCAAAAAACTGAGGGAACAGGTCAAGGGACTGAGGGAATAGGTCAAGGGACTCAGGGAATGGGTCAAGGGACTGAGGGAATGGGTCAAGGGACTGAGGGAATGGATCAAGGGACTGAGAGAACGGGTCAAGGGACTGAGGGAATGGGTCAAGGGACTGAGGGAATAGGTCAAGGGACTGAGGGAATGGGTCAAGGGACTCAGGGAATGGGTCAAGGGACTGAGGGAATGGGTCAAGGGACTGAGGGAATGTCTCAGGGGACTGAGGGAATGGGTCAAGGGACTGAGAAAATGTCTCAGGGGACTGAGGGAATGGGTCAGGGGACTGAGGGAATGGGTCAAGGGACTGAGGGAATGGGTCAAGGGACTGAGGGAATGGGTCAAGGGCCTGAGGGAATGGGTCAAGGGACTCAGGGAATGGGTCAAGGGACTGAGGAAATGGGTCAAGGGACTGAGGGAATGGGTCAAGGGACTGAGGGAATGGGTCAAGGGACTGAGGGAATGGGTCAAGGGACTCAGGGAATGGGTCAAGGGACTGAGGGAATGGGTCAAGGGAGTGAGGGAATGGGTCAAGGGACTGAGGGAATGGGTCAAGGGACTGAGTGAATGTCTCAGGGGACTGAGGGAATGGGTCAGGGGACTGAGGGAATGGGTCAAGGGACTCAGGGAATGGGTCAAGGGACTGAGGGAATGGGTCAAGGGACTCAGGGAATGGGTCAAGGGACTCAGGGAATGGGTCAAGGTACTGAGGGAATGGGTCAAGGGACTGAGGGAATGGGTCAAGGGACTGAGGGAATGGGTCAAGGGACTGACGGAATGGGTCAAGGGCCTGAGGGAATGGGTCAAGGGACTGACGGAATAGGTCAAGGGACTGAGGGAATGGGTCAAGGGACTGAGGGAATGGGTCAAGGGACTGAGGCAATGGGTCAAGGGACTGAGGGAATGGGTCAAAGGACTGAGGGAATGGGTCAAGGGACTGAGGGAATGGGTCAAGGGACTGAGGGAATGGGTCAAGGGACTCAGGGAATGGGTCAAGGGACTCAGGGAATGGGTCAATGAACTCAGGGAATGGGTCAAGGGACAAAATTAATGGGTCAAGGGACTCAGGGAATGGGTCAAGGGACTCAGGGAATGGGTCAAGGGGCTCAGGGAATGGGTCAAGGGACTGAGGGAATGGGTCAAGGGACTAAGGGAATGGGTCAAGGGACTTAGGCAATGGGTCAAGGGACTGAGGGAATGGGTCAAGGGACTGAGGGAATGGGTCAAGGGACTCAGGGAATGGGTCAAGGGAGTCAGGGAATGTCTCAGGGGACTGAGGGAATGGGTCAGGGGACTCAGGGAATGGGTCAAGGGACTGAGGGAATGGGTCAAGGGACTGAGGGAATGGGTCAAGGGCCTGAGGGAATGGGTCAAGGGACTCAGGGAATGGGTCAAGTCAAGGGACTGAGGGAATGTCTCAGGGGACTGAGGGAATGGGTCAAGGGACTGAGGAAATGGGTCAAGGGACTGAGGGAATGGGTCAAGGGACTCAGGGAATGGGTCAAGGGACTGAGGGAATGGGTCAAAGGAGTGAGGTAATGGGTCAAGGGACTGAGGGAATGGGTCAAGGGACTCAGGGAATGGGTCAAGGGACTGAGGGAATGGGTCAAGGGACTCAGGGAATGGGTCAAGGGACTCAGGGAATGGGTCAAGGGACTCAGGGAATGGGTCAAGGGACTGAGGGAATGGGTCAAGGGACTGAGGGAATGGGTCAAGGGACTCAGGGAATGGGTCAAGGGACTCGGGGAATGGGTCAAGGGACTCAGGGAATGGGTCAAGGGACTGAGGGAATTAGTCGAGGGACTGAGGGAATGGGTCAAGGGACTCAGGGAATGGGTCAATGAACTCAGGGAATGGGTCAAGGGACAAAATTAATGGGTCAAGGGACTCAGGGAATGGGTCAAGGGACTCAGGGAATGGGTCAAGGGGCTCAGGGAATGGGTCAAGGGACTGAGGGAATGGGTCAAGGGACTAAGGGAATGGGTCAAGGGACTTAGGCAATGGGTCAAGGGACTCAGGGAATGGGTCAAGGGACTGAGGGAATGGGTCAAGGGACTCAGGGAATGGGTCAAGGGACTCAGGGAATGGGTCAAGGGACTGAGGGAATGGGTCAAGGGACTCAGGGAATGGGTCAAGGGACTCAGGGAATGGGTCAAGGTACTGAGGGAATGGGTCAAGGGACTGAGGGAATGGGTCAAGGGACTGAGGGAATGGGTCAAGGGACTGAGGGAATGTCTCAGGGGACTGAGGGAATGGGTCAGGGGACTGAGGGAATGGGTCAGGGGACTGAGGGAATGGGTCAAGGGACTGAGGGAATGAGTCAAGGGACTGAGGGAATGGGTCAAGGGACTGAGGGAATGGGTCAAGGGAGGGGTGGGGGGGGAGGAAGAAGGGGATATGGACCAGCAGTGCAGCCACCGGTGCTCCGAGTGGGTTTTAGCATTCACCTGGAGGGCACACCTGCAGTCACCTGGAGGGCACACCTGCAGTCACCTGGAGTGCACACCTGCAGTCACCTGGAGTGCACACCTGCAGTCACCTGGAGTGCACACCTGCAGTCACCTGGAGGGCACACCTGCAGTCACCTGGAGTGCACACCTGCAGTCACCTGGAGGGCACACCTGCAGTCACCTGGAGTGCACACCTGCAGTCACCTGGAGTGCATGGCTGGGAAGAGGCAATGGCGGCGGAGTGTGGGCGAACGGTGAGGGTGCGGCTGAGACTATGGTTCAGTGATCGATCCTCCTGTGGAAAGGATTCCTCCTTGCTGCTCTTCTCCTAACACCTCTGAGGACCTCAAGTTCGTGGGAGACGCCTAACCTGCTGCATGCCCAACCTGCTGCTTGCCTAACCTGCTGCTTGCCTAACCTGCTGCTTGCCTAACCTGCTGCTTGCCTAACCTGCTGCTTGCCTAACCTGCTGCTTGCCTAACCTGCTGCTTGCCTAACCTGCTGCTTGCCTAACCTGCTGCTTGCCTAACCTGATGCTCGCCTAACCTGCTGCTTGCCTAACCTGCTGCTTGCCTAACCTGCTGCTTGCCTAACCTGCTGCTTGCCTAACCTGCTGCTTGCCTATCCTGCTGCTTGCCTAACCTGCTGCTTGCCTAACCTGCTGCTTGCCTAACCTGCTGTTTGCCTAACCTGCTGCTTGCCTAACCTGCTGCTTGCCTAACCTGCTGCTTGCCTAACCTGATGCTCGGCTAACCTGCTGCTTACCTAACCTGCTGCTTGCCTAACCTGATGCTCGCCTAACCTGCTGCTTGCCTAACCTGCTGCTTGCCTCACCTGATGCTGCCTTTTCATCACGCTGCCTTCTTCCCTGCACTTCTCCTCCTCTCATCTCTTCTCCTCCCCTCCGTGCTCTCTCCCTTCCCCCTTCTCCCCTCCCTTTCTCCTCCCTCGCCTACCAACTCTTTTCCATCCACCTCCCTCTCCTCCACTCTCTGCCCCTCCTCCCTCGCCTCTACTTCCACCTCTCTCGGCGACCTCCCATCCTTCCCCTGCCCTCCCTCTCACTCTCCCCTGACTCCTCCCTCGCCTCTCCCCCCTCTGCTTCCCTTCTCGCCTCTCCCCCCTCTGCCTCCCATCTCGCCTCTCCCCCCTCTGCCTCCCATCTCGCCTCTCCCCCCTCTGCCTCCCATCTCGCCTCTCCCCCCTCTGCCTCCCGTCTCACCTCTCCCACCCTCACTGAAATGACAGAACACTCCTTCTCGCCACTCATGCTCCAACCATTTCGTGCCTCCTCCACACCTCCCTCCACCCCCATGCACCACACGCCCTTCTTCCTCCCCACCCCCCTTCTCCGCATCCCCCTCAACTCCCTCCCCACACGCCTGTCTATCCTGCAGCACTATTCTCGTCAATCCACTAACACGCTTTTGCTTCGGGGTCTGCCTCTCCATTTCCCGCCTCACATCCATGCTCTCCCTGGTTGCTGGCTTCACCTGCACCCGCGCCCCACTCCTCCGCCTGCCCATTCGCCCTTCCTCCGCCCTCCTGCTCCCCCTTCTCCCACTCCTCGCCTCGTTTCTGCCAAACCAAACCCACGCGCGCCCGCATTCTCACTCCCCCTTCCCCTCTCGATCCCTCCCCTCAACACTCCGCCTACCCTTCCCCCTCCGCGCGGCAGCCCGTCATTGTCACCCTCATATGCGCTCCCCATCCCACTGGCGCGCAAATCATTCTCCGCTGACTCTCAACGGTCGAGGCTCACGCGTAGCAGGAGTGGCGGCGGCGGTGGCAGCGGCAGCGGCGGCGACGACGACGGCGGTGGTGACGGCGGAGCGTGACCTACACCGCATTCTACCGCCACTTCGCGCCGCCGCCGCCACCACTCCAGCCTGTGCTGCTCGCAGAGACACTCCAACCCTAAATCCCACTAGGCTTCATTTCGGGCATGACAGATATGGTGGTGGGAGTGAGACGGTCCATCCATGTGTCCCTCTCTTCACCCATCATCGCCCCATCCATGTGTTCCTCTCTGCCCTAATCATCTCCCCATGGAGTGAGTGTGTCGCCGGGGTGAGAGGCAGGAGGTGAGCACAAGGACAGAGTCAGGCCATGGAAGTGAGATGGCGGTGGGAATGAGATGGTGGTGGGAGATGGTCACACTATCCATCTGTTCCTCTCTGCCCCCATCATCTCCCCATGGAGTGAGTATCATCTCCCCATGGAGTGAGTATCATCTCCCCATGGAGTGAGTATCATCTACCCATGGAGCGAGTGAGTATCATCTCCCCATGGAGTGAGTATCATCTCCCCATGGAGTGAGTATCATCTTCCCATGGAGTGAGTATCATCTCCCCATGGAGTGAGCGAGTATCATCTCCCCATGGAGTGAGTATCATCTCCCCATGGAGTGAGTGAGTATCATCTCCCCATGGAGTGAGTGAGTATCATCTCCCCATGGAGTGAGCATCATCTCCCCCATAGAGCCCCACCCACTGCCGTCCTGAACCATTAACTCCTGAATCGTTGACTCCCCATGGCACACATGCGACAGCGCGGAAATGGAGCCGTGCTTGCATGAGTCAAGCCAAGCCAAGGCGACTCGAGGCCGAGTCCCCACCCCACCTCACAGCCTCTAGTCACCTTGGGCAGGCGACGGCGGAAAAGAACCACAAGGTTTGTTCGTGGGCAACAATGGGAAGAAAACAGTGTGCGTTACCCATCACGTAAGCACTCCCACTGTTACCCACCTCACTGTGTGCTACCTCACAGCACGGCATCCCACCCCACCGCATTCAACAGCTGCACTCACCTTGCCCAGGCGGAGTCGCGAGAGAGCAATGAGTACAGGAATGCTGCAAGCACTCCCCTGTGTGCTGGTTCCCGGCCTTCCCGTGTGCTACCTGATAGCACCACACCCCACCTCAGCCTCTAACCACCTCAACGTCTAGCCCCCCACGCTTCTAACCACCTCAGCATATAGGCACCTCAGAAACTAGCCACCTCAGCCTCTAGCCACCCTCTAACCACCTCAGCATCTAGCGACCTCAGCATCTAGCGACCTCAGCATCTAGCGACCTCAGCATCTAGCGACTTCAGCATATAGCCACTTCAGCATATAGCAACTCTCCATCTACCCACCTCAGCATCGAACCACCTCAGCATATATCCACCTCAGCAACTAGCCACCTCAACATCTAGCCACCTCAGCAACTAGCCACCTCAACATCTAGACACCTCAGCTTGCAATCGCGTTGAGCTCTACTCACATTGGCGAGGCAGTGCTGAGATAGAGCAAAGTGCACGGGACTGCCACGTGCAGTCTATTTCACACTTGCACCCCCCCCCATGTGCTGGTTCCCAGCCTCCGGTATGCTACCGAATAGCACCAGCACCCACCACATTCAACACCTGTGATCACCTTGCACTCCCTGTATGTTACCTAATAGCACCAGCACCCCACCAGCACTCACCTTGGCCAGGCGGCGTCTGGAGAGAGCCACAACCACGGGAGTGTTGCGAGCATTATCCCACCCACACACATGCACTCCCACCACACCACACTGAACACCTGCAGGCACCTTGGCCAGGCGATGTCTGGACGGAGCCAATCCCTGCTCTCATGCGTGCGTGGAGAAGTTTGAGGGGGACATGGGTGGGCGAGGAGAGAAGGGGGGTTTCCTCCTACCATTCACCGCCTGCCCCAGCTTTGAGAAATTCTCAAAAGTGACTCGCACCACTTTCAGCCCTGCTAGCACCTGCCGCTGCATTGTTCCCTGGGCGTGGAGGGTTGAAGTAGAAAGGGGGTTGCGGAGGGGGAAAAGCGAAATCTCCTTCAGCCCTGGCAGCACGCGCTGCCTCATGGCTTCCTGTGCATGGGGGGAGTTGAGGGGGGGAAGGGGGAGCCTTCAACATGGAGGGGAAAGAAGGGATCATCTTTAGCCCTGCCAGGCCAGCATGCGCCGCCTCATGGCTCCCTGCTCCCATGTGTAGGGGAGATGGAGGGAGATGGCGCAGGGGGGACAGGCGGAGGGGGAATGGGGAAGGGGAACGATGGGTCTCTTGCAGTGCTGGTAGCACCGCTGCCGCATTGCGTGGAGGGAGAAGGGTGCAAAGGCGGGAGGGGTGCGTGGGAATGAGTAGGGGGGAAGTGGGGGTGTGTAGGGGGAAAGAATGGCCCCCTTCAGCCTCCTTAGGGGGGACATCGATCCCTGTGCGAGGAGCAGAAAGGTAAAAGGTAGGATTTAAGTGGGGTGGAGTGGAAGGAGAGGGGCCGTCGAGGAAAAGGTGGGATGTGGACGAGAAGGAGGGAAAAGAAGGGGGAAAGTAGGGGTCCAGGGGAGAATGAGGAGGCCGGAGGGGATGGGAAAGGCAAGGGGAGATAAAGAGAGGGGAGCAGGGGTGGAAGGGAGAGGGAAAAGGGTTGATGAGAAGGAAAAAGGGGGGTTGAAAACGGGCAAGGGGACCTCACCTCAGCATCCCTTCTGCTCCCCTCCTTGCCCCCTCGCTTGCCCCTTCTCTCTGTCCCCCTTCCCTCACCTCTCCCATGCACTCCGCTTCCTCCTCCCCCTTGCCCTCCATCCCACCCTACCATGACTCCGTCCCCTCTTCTCCCCTCCCTATACCCCCACACCCACTCGCCTCTCCTCCCTCTGAACTCCCCCTCGCCTCTCCCACCCCCACGAGTGTGGCACAGTCCACTTGACGCCTCTCATGCCTCCTCCATACCTCCCACCATCCATCGCCATGAGTCCCGTCCCCCCAACCCCATGATCCACACGCCCGTCTTCTTCTCCCAACCTCTCCCGTTCCCTCACCCCCTACCTCGCTCCCTTCCCATTCCCCTTCTCCCCCTCCCCCGTCTCCCGCTTCTCCCCGTCCCCCTCCCCATTACCCGTCTCCCCCATCTCTCTCCCCCCCGCCCGCCTGTCTCACCAGCACCTCCCCTCCCCATTCTCTTCTGCTTCAGCGTCTGCCTCTCCTTCCCCCTGCCTCACACCCATGCTCTCCCACGTTGCTAAGTTTCACCCGAACCTGCCTCCTCCCACCGATTCCCCCCGGGACCCCTCCGCGCCCCTCCCAGCGTCCTCCCCCAATCGCTCGCGCCCCTCTACCCGGTCCCCCTCGCATCCCCCTTCTCATCCCTCTTGCCCCTTCCCACTTCCCGCCCTTCTCCAGCCCTCTGCCTGCCCTTTCTCACCTCCTCCCCCATTCTGCTCCGCCTCCTGCGGCTTGAGTCCTGCCCCGCTTTCTCCCACCCCTTGCCTCGTTTCCGCCAAATCCAAGCCACGCGCGCCCGCAAGCTCACTTCCCCCTCCTCTCTCTGGCCAACCCTCCTCGTTCCGGCCCCCCCTTCTCACTCCGCGTTACCACCCGTCACTGTTCCCATCACTTCTGATCCCATCTGCGCTCCACCTCTCCCTGGCGCGCAAACTGATTTCCGCGGACTCTCGCGAATGCGGCGGTAGAGGCGCACGCGCAGCGGCGATGGCGGCGGTGGCGGTGGCGCCGGCGGCGGGGGCCGCGGCGGTGGCGGTCTGTGCTGCTCGCAGTAACGGTGCTGTCTTGGCAGCCCACCCCCGCCGGGAGCCCCGCCTGCGCTCCCGTGCTTGCCCCATCCGCTATTGCTGCTGCTCGCCTCTGCTGTCGCGGCTCTCCGCCATCGCGAATCGCTTTTTATCGCTATCTTCGTCTACTGTTGCCTTTTCGCTGCAGACAGTCGCGGTTTCGTCGCCGTCCGTCGCTCTCTCATCGTAGTCCGTCGTTCTCTGTCGCGGTCTGTCGTTCTCGCGTCGCAGTCCCTCGCTCTCGCGTCGCGGTCCGTCGCACTCTCATCCCCGTCGCCATGTGTCGTTGCCTATCTGTCGCGCTGACGCAGTAGCATTTGCGCCAATACCTGACGCTCTAAACGACCTTCGATTGCCAACGCAGTATCGCAATGTCTTATCATGTCTCTCATCGAATGTCAGGCTTTTCTGTTTGCCCACCCGCCATTGCTGCTGCTCCTCGCGCCTCTGCTGTCGTGTCTCTCTTCTCGCTCAAGTCGCCCTGTCTGTCGTTTCGACGCGACAACTATTGAGCCACCTATTCGACGCTCCACTGCTGCCTACCCAGCTTTCACTTTCTGATCCTGCTGTGTGACTCCTACAGACTGTTACGAATTCGCAAGTTTTCCAGACAGAAACGCTACAAGATACAACAGAGTATCCCGGGAATGTCTAAAACGAGGTACAAATTGGCAGGGTCGAGCTAGGCGAAGACCTCGGCGTGAACGAGGCTCGGAAGTTTGGCGAAAAGTGCGGCTGCGACTCGGAATTGGTTCAGAGCGGAATTTTAGGCCGAACCAGTAGAAGCGAACTCGACGGAAGAGAAAGGATAGAGTAACCCTACAGTAATAATCAATGAACTCTTATACGCACACGAAGGAAAGAAACGAGTTGTAGGTAAAAAAATGAAACAACGACAGTTGATTTCTCCACAAGTTGTACAAGATTACTAGTCAAAGTTCAACCACTGCGAGTGATCGCTTATGCGCTACAACACGTACGAACTTGGCTAGTGCTCTGAAATTACGAGTTTCCACTTAACTATTTAAATATTGGATGTGTCGGGTTGTAATTCTCCGCCCCCTCCCTTGTCGGGATGTAGCAAGTCTTCGCTCCAGCGTGCCTGGTGGACCTCTTGCTGCTCCCACCAGGCTTCATTTGTTACATAAGGTAGCGATAATGGCGGTGGGAGTAGAGGGCAATGGGAGCGTGAGAGCGAAGGGAGCAAGAAGGCAGTTGTTGCCAGATCCCTTGTTTCACGACTTTGTTGCGTTTGACCTTGAAAGTCTTGGTTCAAAACAAGAGTAACAGTTCTCAGGTTGATCGTGTCGCTGATCTCGCCACCGAAGCACAGCTTGATTCGCAAGCTTGTAACTCTTGCGCTACCCCCAGCATGGCTCGAGCAGCAGCCTCGTTGACATGACTTCTTGATCCTCCACCTGCCCTTTCTGCTAAAGATTTCTCCCCTAATCTGTCTGCCCCTCCAACAATCACAAACTATGCCAGAACGCTCCTCAGCAGGCTGTGCACCGCGTCGGCAGTGCACCCCAACTGTGTGTGCAACTTACAACCCCTTATGGTCATGCTTCCTCGATTTCCCACCTTCGCGCTCACCATAGACAGCCAAATAAGCATGCACAACCTCCCACCTTATATTGACCTGTACTCCCCAATAAGAGCCAACACCCACTGCAGCTTGCACTCAGCTTGCCCAGGCGGCGCTGAGACTGATAGAGCCACAACCACAGGGATGCTGCGTGCATTAATCCTCATTCATGCACCCCCCATTCACTACCTTTACCTTGTGTTAGCTGATAGCAGTAGCACTCCCACCTCAGCCTGCTTGCACCCACCTCACCGCATGTTACCTGATAGCACAACCATCGAACCTCACCCTGCCCTCACCTTGGAATGGCGACGTCTGGTGAGAGTTATGACCATGGGAATGTTGTGTGTATTACCACTCCCATGCACCTCAGCCACTACTCTACTCACCTTGCCACATGGGGACAGCGCACCCGGCATCGTGGGCGGTTCAAGGCCTGGCAGCATGAAAGGTGAGGTTAGCAAATGGTGTTGCTCAGAGCAACACAGCACAATGGAAAGAGTTGACGAGAGGCTGAGGGAACTGCAATGCAAGCACGGAATCACTGTGTGCGTCACTTTCGAGAAGTGACTCGAACATCATATGGACTCATTGTCGTCCAGATTACCACGGCACTCACACGGCAGCGCAGCCAGTGTAGTATCTGGGTGGCAGGGAGAAAGGAGATGGGAGGATGCAATAAGACGAGGTCAAGAGTGGGTGCAATGCAATGCGCTGGGGACTATGCATGCATCTCCCCCATTGCAGTCATCAGAGCTGATAAACATGGGGGTTGATGCATACGGCATGGGAAATGATGCATGCAGCATGGGGGGTGATGCATGCAGCATGGGGGTTGATGCATGCAGCATGGGGGGTGATGCATGCAGCATGGGGGTTGATGCATGCAGCATGGGAAATGATGCACGCAACATCCCCATCAGAGTGTGGTCTCCAGAGCTGATAAACGGCCAAGACGGGGTAGGCATGAAGGTGGAAGGGCCGAGTGGGGAAAAGAAAGTTATTGCAAGCGAGCAAGCATGCGCCTTGTGCGTCATCGCCGCAACCGACTTACTTCCCTCTCACATCCCCTCCAGATTTTTGAAGCGCCTCAGAAATCGAGTAGTGTACACGAGAAAATGAGCGCTCGTGCTGCTTCACAGCAACCGCTTACTCCCCTCCCCACTCACATCCCCTCCAGATTCCGCCTGGTGCTGCTGCCTCCCTTCTGCCACCTAAGTCAGCACCACTCTCCCATCACCTCACGCACAGACCACCATGATACCTGATAGATACAACATCTATAGCCCACACACCTCTTCCGTCCCAGCCTTCCCCCATCCACCTGGTCACAGGACTTCCCCTTAAGCAGTTCCTGGCCCCCCACCTTCACCTGCAGACGCCTTAGTCATGGGGCATCTGGAGAGAGGCAGTCACCAACCTCGTGGATTCCGCATGCATTGCGCCTCACACACGCATGCCAATAGCTCACCGCGACCTGATTCCTCCAATCCTCTCTTCCCCACTTTACCGTGCGTTACCTGATTGCACCGCAGCCTCTAGCCACCTCACCCAATAGCCAACTTACCTTTGCAAGGGGGCATCAGAGAAAGGCACGAGCTCAAGAATGTTGTGTACACTACTCCCCACACATGCAAGCCCCCCGCCCCCACCACAGTGTGCTACATGAAGCACCAACACTCCGCCTCAGCCTCTACAACTTCTCCACCCTATCTTAGCCAGGCGGTGTCAGGACAGAGCCACAACCACAAGAATGTTGCGAGCCGAGCATTACCCCGCATGCATTCACTTCCCCCCAAATCCAGCTCACCATGTGCTACCTGATAGTACCAACGCCCCACTTCAGCCTCTAGCAACCTGGACCTGCACCCACCGTGTGCTACCTGCAAGTGTTGGGATGGGTGGTGATGTGTTGGGATAGGGGCAGCGTCAAGGCCACCTGGGGAGACGACAGAGGAGTGGGTGGGGTGGGTGATGGTGGTGAGGCTGGTTGCAAAGGGATACGTGGAACTTTGAATGCTGCATGCGGCAGCTTCTGATAGGGTGGATGTGAGGGCTATCTCAAGACCACCTGGGGATTGGGCGGAAGAGGGGTGGGGAGGGTGGGTGGGGGTGGTTTAAACATTGAGTGGTGCATTCACACACAGCCCACCTCAAGACCATCCAACAGAAGCGATAAACGATGGTGCAAATTCACGGGAATGTTTTGCATAATAATAAACCCCCCAATCTCCTCTCCCACTCCATTCTCCTCACCCTTCCCCCCATTCTCCTCTCAATTCCCCCCAAATACTCACCTCTCTCAGGCACCTCCGCATCAGGCGCCAGCACCACACACTTGGCTCCCCATCGTTGCACACCATTCACTGTCACCACTCCCTCCCGCTCCTCCACCTGCCCCAGGCACCCCTTCCACTTGGTGTTAAGCAGCACGCCCGTTGGAGCAGCGCGGTGAGCTCGGGAGTGAGCACCTGATGAGCACCTGGTGAGCACCTGGCGAGCACCTGGCGAGCACCTGGCGAGCACCTGGTGAGCACCTGGCGAGCACCTGGTGAGCACCTGGTGAACGAGGAGTTTGAGGTGGGGAGAGAAAAGACGTGAGGAGGGGGGGTGCGGAAATTTGACGTGTTGAAACCTCCTCGACTCACCTGCTGCATGCCTCCACGCCAATGTAAGTGGTCGGCTGAGCCTGCCACATTCGTCTCCTCCTTTCACCTCCCCGTCCTTCTTCTCCCATCCCTCTTCCTTCTCTCCCTCCTCTTCCTTCTCTCCCTAGTTTTCCTGCTCCTCACCTTAGTGGGAATATACGCTCAAACCTGTTTGCGTTTAGCGTATACACGCTATCGTGTATACGCAAAACGCTAAACGCTATCGAATACGCTATACGCTCGCCAATTTTTTTTTGGGGCAGCCCGGCCAGAAAATTTCAACCTATACAGTTCGCTTCGGAATTGCATGACGAAGACATTGGCGGGGTCAGATGGCACGTCCGCGCTGTGTGCTAACGTGGACGTGGGTTGAAAGTTCGTGTTGCAAATGGAAAGTCAAGTTCGTCAAGTCGCGCTTGCACGCTCCCTCACATTTTGGTGTTCACTATCAGTAACGCATTCAAACCCTTCGCAACCAACACCTCTCCAATTTTTGTTGGCCATCTTCCCACTCCCACAATCAACTCGCTATAAAACAACCACGCCCCCAACATCCAACTCATTAGGTCTTCTCTCGCTACCAGCAGAGCACTAGGCATTCCCTAGCGCATGGTGCCTATGTCGACGACTACTACCTCTCCTCTAACGCCACCGTCAGTTACCACCGTTGGCAGTTCACAAACTCTTCTAACCGAGGCACGGGAGTATCTACCCGATGTTGACCATGGCGTCTTCAAGCACTTCCGCATCATCAAGAGGGTCGAGGGAAAAGCTCAGCAGTACGAGTGCAAGTTCTGCAGCAACGTCTACACTGATGCTGCCATCCGATGCGCGCAACACTTTACGTCGTGGAAGGGGATGAAACGCCGTGAAGTGGTGCTTTGCAAGGATGTGCCGCAAGATGTGCGCTTGGCCATGCGCGCAAAATACGAGGCAAAGACTGCTGCGGCCGAAGAGAAGAGGCGGGCAGCAGCTGAAGCGGTTGCCGCGGTCAAGGCTAATGGTGTGAAGCGGGCGCGCATCACCGATTACCTTGAGGGGGATGCGACTGCAAGAAAGAGAGAAGCGGACGAGGCACTTGCGCTTGCTTGGGCCGCCCTCCATATCCCCGAGCGCCACATTGACCATCCTCTGATGGTCAATGCATTGAACCTCGTCAAGCGCGCCGGCGCCGACTAAGTCCCTCCCAAGAGGAAATACATCGGTGGTGCTGGCCTTCTCTCGTGTCACAACGGAATCGAGCAGGATTTGGTGGGCATTAAGGCAAGCTGGAAGAGGACGGGCATGACGGTTTCGTCCAACATGATGACGGACCGCAACGGCAGGCCGCAGGCGAACGTGCTTATCGTAAACGATTCCGGCGCCGTCTTCACCGACTGTATTGACTGCAACATGGAGAGGAAAACCGGAGGTTACGTGGCAAGGATTCTTAGGCCCGTGGTGGAGGAAGTGGGTCCAGAGAACGTTGTTGCGTTCTGCATGGACGGGGGGTCGAACTATGCGGTGGCGGTGAAGCAGCTCATATGGGAGTGGCCGCACATTCAGGATGTGCCGTGCGCCACTCACGTATTGGATCTTCTCATGGAAGATGTCGGAAAGATGGGATGGGCTAAGCCGGTGGTCGACAAGGGAGGGGAGATATCTAGCTTCGTCCGCAACCACCACTGGACCCGAGGGTACCTGTGGAAGCCGGAATTGGTGGAGGGGAAGGTTCTGCAGGCGCTAAAGCCGGCTGGGACCCGATTCGGGACCAACTACATAGCCATATCCCGGCTATGTGCGATGCGCGGCAGCCTTACCAACATGGTGACGAGCGAGGGCTGGAAGGAGTGGGCGGTAGGGGACCGGAAGAAATCGTGTGACGGGTTCAGTGCGCTGATCCATGATGCAGCCTGGTGGAAGACGGCCGAGTTCTTTGTCGCCCTGCTGAAGCTGCCCTTTAAGGTGATGAGGCAGACGGACGGGCATGCCGTGGGGATGATGGGGAGGCTGTACGATTTGATGCTGTAGTTGACTGAGGACGTGGGGGGCTTGCTCGATGCGGACGAGGAGCAGCTGAGCGACGGGGACAAGGACAAGATCCGCCGCATCCTCAGAGACGGTTGGGACGGCAGCCTCTCATGCGCCACGCATGTCGCTGGCCGCATCCTCAACCCCGCGAATCAGGAGGAAGATATTTTCGGCATTGATCCCGAGTGCACGAAAGTCTTCAAGGCGTTCATCAGCCAGCAGGCCGAGTTCCTTGCGAGCCGCGGGGATGGGGGGGATGACGTGTGCGACATCTTACTTGAGCTGGGGGACGGTCTGAGGGCGTTCCTTGACATGAAGGGTTCTTTTGGGATGCCGGAAGCCGTGGCACAGAGGAAGCTGGTGAAAGAGGGAAAGTATAGCATGGTGAAGTGGTGGCAGTGGAATGGGACTGATGCCCCTCGAGTGGCAGAGCTCGCGGTACGGGTGTTGTCTCAGGCCGTGTCAGCCTCACCTTGTGAGCGTGGATGGTCCTCGTGAGATGCCGTCCACACCGCACGTCGAAACAGGCTCGGATCCGCCAAGTGCAGGGACTTGGTCTATGTTGTGCACAACTGGAATGTTGTGCGCAACTGGCATACGTGCGCCGATGTCTTGCCACATGTGGTGCCCGGGATTGGAGCGGAGCCTCCAATCCCAGCGGGATACAATGGGCTAGAAGACGAGACGAAGGGAGAGGATGAGGAGGAAGGCAAAGACGACATCCTTGAAGACGAGTAAGCTAACTAGAGGGGGCAAATGTGGCTTGTTGTAGGCGACTAGTCCTAAGGAGTAGTACGTAGCTTGTCTTAGAGAGAAGTGATGGTCGTGATGGAGTAGTGATGATAGTAGTGATGGTAAATGATGATGGTAAGTGATGATAGTAGTGATGGTAGTGATGATAGTAATGATGACAGTACTTATGTGTAGGCCGTGGTATATGTGTAATGTGGAAAAAAAATATCTCTGAAACTTCAGGCCCCATATCCCCCCCCCCCCCCCCCGCGGCTTTTTTTGACCCTGCCCGGGAAGTTTTTTTTCTGCCTGAAAAAGCGGATTTCCAAACCCGTCCCTATAGCTTACAGCATATATAAGATTGCATATATACGATAAGCGTTTATACGCTTGAGGCTTGCACTTAAATGGTGGGGCTCACTTGTGTAGAGGCGACCTGACTGCTCGAGGGTCGAAGCTGCCGCTTCGTTGTTGTTGATTGTTGTCGGTTGGGGCAGTGCGTGCGTGGGTGTCCTCACGTCTTACATATGTGGCAGAACGGAGGTACATACTTTGGTTGGTGTCGGTTGTTGTTGTTGTTATAGTGTCGCTGAGTGTGGAAAGCGAATTCCGGTGCTGACGTCTTCCTCTTGTATCTTTCTTCTTGCAGTTCCATGTCTTGTTGGTTGGCATGAACTTCAGAGCAAAGTGCTGCTTCGGAGATTCTTCCGTGAGCTCGGAGAATGGCTTTTGTGGCGCGCCATTGAGGACCGAGGCCGCCAATGATGACTGTCACGAAGGCGTCTTCAGATATCGACCCTCCGCATCGAAGGAGTTTGTCGCGCAATTCGCGACAGCGACTGATATACGCCATCCCCTTTTCCCCTGGTTTCATTTCGACCGTTGTCAGTTGCGCCATTAGTCGACTCTGACTTACACTGTCTGTTGCTTGGTACAGGCTTTTCAAGTGGCTGTATGCGAGCTCGGCGGAGTTGCCGTATCCCCGGTAAGACCGTATATTCTGTTGTTGAGTCGGGGTGATATTCCTCAGTATGATTGTGTATGCCATCATTGACTGATAGGTGTACTGTTGCTTCTCGTACTGTGTGCCATTTGTTGGGTATGGCAGGGATCCGTCGAAGAAGCCGAGGATTTGCGCGCCTTCCATCATCAGCTCAAACTCGAATCACCAGGTAAAAAAGTCCTTTCCGTCGAAAGGTCTTGATGTCTGCAGCTTCAGAACGTGCGTGAACTGCGACTGAACTTGTAGCGCATCCAGTGTCTTCTCTTGTCCAGGTGCAGGCTGCGGTTGTGGCATAAAGCTGACGGAACCGCGCTGGGGCTCGTACGGAGCAAAGGTAGGTTGCTGCTGTTGATTTCCACGTGCGTAGGATGAACCATCAAGGCTCATTAGAGACACGTCATTGTTGTTGTTGCTGTTGTGTGACTGCGCAGGTGCCAATTGCTGGTGTTGCTCGCAGAAGGACATGAAGGAGAAAAACTTATGCTCTGGTCGAAACCTGCAGGTTGATTTGCAGGAGTCTCGGTGGATGTTGCCCTTGGTCTTCTTGCCGTACCCTCCTCTGTCTGTAGGCCAGAGGCAGGAGGTGGAGTAGGAGTAGTACCGGGAGAACCAATAGAGGAACTCCTTTCTTTATGAGTAGCCATGTCTTCTGATGTTGTAGGTGTTTTGATAGTTGAATTCCCCTTGATAGCTCTCATACCATGTTGGGCTGAGAAAAATAGCCCTTGGGATCTTTGCAGGGGTGAACTGTGGGTATAACTGATGTAATAGCGGAAGTGTTTAATGAAGGGTTGTGAACCACCTTGCGCTAGTATGTGAGGGCAAATTTGATTGATTAAAGCAAAGAGATACAAGATTATATAGGGTACAGGGAATATGAAGAGATACAGTTATAACTACTTTACTGTTGCTGTTGCGGTTCGATACAGTGACGACTCGGGCAACTGCTCTGTAATGAGTCAGTTGTGTGTCCTTGCTGTCGCGCTGTACTTGTCAGGTCAAAGGTCGCTGACCTTTGACTTTCGCGTAACCTCCAGCAACTGCACAACCTCCGAGGGTTGACTCGCCAGTGCTTCGATATGCTTTGCTTCGCTTCTGACTTGGTGTTTCGACACGACAGAGGCGCGTAGAGTTAATTGTTTCCAACATTACACAACCATATAGCTAACTGAACGTGATGAACACGTTTCTACAAAATAATCATAAAGTGAACCCAATTAATCTCTCCACAAATGCTAACATGATGATTGTGAATTTAAAATATCGTAGGTGAATAATACTCATGCGCTACAACGCATACTAACAAACCTAGCTAGTGCAGTACATCGACGGGATTTAATAATACCGTAACGGTACAGTTTTAAACATCTTGTGAAGGGGCACACAACACAACCCAAGCTGCCTGCTACAATTGGGTTGTTGGAGATTCTCCCTTGTGGCAGGACTCTGCATTTGACTGCAGTAAGTGTTGACTGCAGTCTGGCTTCCTTCCCAGGGGAAGCGTGGGAGTGAGATGGTGGTGGGAGTGAGATGGCGTTGAGAGTGAGATGGTGGGGGAAGAATGGGGTGGATTGACTTCTCCGCACAGCTGGCTGGACTGATGCATCCGATCAAGTTATGGTCCAAAGCGGACCCTCTATTTCCAGGACCCCCCCCCCCCCCCCCCCCCCCCCCCCCCCCCCCCCCCCCCCCCCCCCTCCACCCCTCCTCCACCCCCACCAGAGGCTCAAGATCCAGACGGCATGATCCAGAGTGTCACCTGTTACACCTACCTGCCACCTTGAGCTTCGTTTCTTGCATGGCAGGGATGGCCGTAAGTGAGAGGGCGGTGGGAGGGAGCAAGAGGGTGGCTGTCGCCAGGACGCCGTCGCGTTTGACCGTAGCGAGTCTAGGTTCCAGCCTGGTTGACTGGACCTCTTGCTGCCCCTTCAGACTCTTCTGCATAGCAGAGGTGGTGGTGGGAGTGAGGAGGTGGTGGGAGTGAGGAGGTGGTGGGAGTGAGGAGGTGGTGGGAGTGAGGAGGTGGTGAGAGTGAGGAGGAGGTGGGAGTGAGGAGGTGGTGGGAGTGAGGAGGTGGTGGGAGTGAGGAGGTGGTGGGAGTGAGGAGGTGGTGGGAGTGCGGAGGTGGTGGGAGTGAGGAGGTGGTGGGAGTGAGGAGGTGGTGGGAGTGAGGAGGTGGTGGGAGTGACGAGGTGGTGGGAGTGAGGAGGTGGTGGGAGTGAGGAGGTGGTGGGAGTGAGGAGGTGGTGGGAGTGAGGAGGAGGTGGGAGTGAGGAGGTGGTGGGAGTGAGGAGGTGGTGGGAGTGAGGAGGTGGTGGGAGTGAGGAGGTGGTGGGAGTGCGGAGGTGGTGTGAGTGAGAGGGTGGTGGGAGTGAGGAGGTGGTGGGAGTGAGATGGTGGTGGGAGTGAGATGGTGGTGGGAGTGAGATGGTGGTGGGAGTGAGGAGGTGGTGGGAGTGAGATGGTGGTGGGAGTGAGATGGTGGTGGGAGTGATGAGGTGGTGGGAGTGAGGAGGTGGTGGGAGTGAGATGGTGGGAGTGAGAGGGTGGTGGGAGTGAGATGGTGGTGGGAGTGAGAGGGTGGTGGGAGTGAGATGGTGGTGCGAGTGAGATGGTGGTGGGAGTGAGATGGTGGTGGGAGTGAGATGGTGGTGGGAGTGAGATGGTGGTGGGAGTGAGATGGTGGTGGGAGTGAGGTGTTCACTTCATCTACATCCACCTCGCCCAGGCTGGGTGGGGATGTGCTGCCCCTATCGGTTCCCATCATTCCCCCATCCATTCGCCTGAATTGCTAAGAACCGTGTGTGCGCACCTTCGGCTGGTCCCACTAAAACCACTCTGAGCCTCAATAATGTTGGAAATGCCCATCACTCATGCCCATCACTCATGCCCATTACTCATGCCCATCACTCATGCCCATCACTCATGCCCATCACTCATGCCCATCACTCATGCCCATCACTCATGCCCATCACTCATGCCCATCACTCATGCCCATCACTCATGCCCATCACTCATGCCCATCACTCATGCCCCATCACACTCATCACCCTTCACCCATGCACCCTTCCCCACCCTTCCCCACCGCGTGTTACCCGTACCACATCCCATCTCAACCTCTCGTCACCTTCCCCACCTTACCTTGGCCAGTGAGCGTTCTTCAGCAGCCAGGCAGCCTGTGCGCCCCATTGTCGTCCAGAGGGGATGCCCACGGCACGCCACTCACCCGCCACTCACCCGCCACTCACCCGCCACTCACCCGCCACTCACCCGCCACTCACCCGCCACTCACCCGCCACTCACCCGCCACTCACCCGCCACTCACCCGCCACGCACCCGCCACGCACCCGCCACTCACCCGCCACTCACCCGCCACTCACCCGCCACTCACCCGCCACTCACCCGCCACTCACCCGCCACTCACCCGCCACTCACCCGCCACTCACCCGCTACTCACCCGCCACTCGCCCGCCACTCGCCCGCTACTCACCCGCCACTCACCCGCTACTCACCCGCCACTCACCCGCCACTCACCCGCCACTCACCCGCCCGCCACTCACCCGCTACTCACCCGCCACTCACCCGCCACTCACCCGCCACTCACCCGCCACTCACCCGCCACTCACCCGCCACTCACCCGCCACTCACCCGCCAGTCACCCGCCAGTCACCCGCCAGTCACCCGCTACTCACCCGGCAGCGCGGGCGGTTCAAAGACTGGCACGATGAATGAGACATGGCAATCGCTGTCCATCATCTTCTGGCTCATAATGGGGAAAGTGCAGTGCAAGCAAGAGGGTATGCATGAAGCGACTTGACCTTCGTCATAGCAACTGCTTACTCCCTACTTGCATTTTCTCCGGATTCAACCCCACTCACACCACCTCCCGCTTCCGCCTGGTCTCGCCTTCCTTCCACCACCACAGTCAGCACCGCTCATTCCCCACTACACATTTACCACATGAATGAATCACCATCTATAACACACACACTTCTTGCATTCC